CATGTGTGACACTGTGGGAACCTTGATAAAAAGTTCCCAGCCCTACATTTCGATGGTTGAACAATGGGCAGGTAGACTGTAGGGTCTACAGTCTGAGGTAATAACGGGGAATGGCGTGGTGGCCTGGAGCATAGACATCTGTTCTGTGTGACTGTGATCTCCCCACCTCAGTCTTCTCACCCAGAAGATGGGGAGAATGGTACCTACCTATTGGAGTATTATAGCACACAGGGATTCTGCCAAGACAGGCGGGACAGAGACTTTGATCTTGAACAAACAGAGGGCCTGTGGGCTCTGCACAACCATAGGGATTCCTGAAAGCAGCAGCCCCTGCCTCCGCCCAGCGCTTGCCCAGTGCCATCCGCTGACACGGAGCCCCTCTCTACTCTGTCATCCAGGTTGGGATTGTGGCACGCTTGCCATTCCGTACTCTGCTACTCCACACTTTCTGAGCACCTGGTTATGCCTTCTGGGCTTTTGAGCCTCATGAACATCTAACCCAGGCAAAAAAAGTAAAGAAAGCTCAAACAGGATGAAGTAGAACAGCCTCATAAATAAAACAGACCTCACTGGGGACCACCAGGGACTGCTGCACATTAGGTCCCCATGAACATTGGGGTGGCACAGTCATCCCAGGAGGTGCCAGGGCCTCACAGACTGACTCACCCTCTCTTTTCCAGGGCCCTGTTCCTGCTCAGCAAAGGAATGGTAAGTCAAGGCTGGGTGGAGTGGGGCTGGTGTGGAGGACATGAGGCCAGGCCCTGCTCATTTGCCATAGTGTAGCTTCTTGTGGGCCCAGACCCTCATACACAGCAGGCTGTAGCAAGGGCGAGGCCCCCCAGAGTGAAACTCCGATTCCAAGGATTTGTGCTAAGGAAGAAGCCTCGGGTTGGTTTTTTGCCCTCTGTGTGGTGCTGGTGTTCCCCTGGAGGGGGGCAGATCTGGGCACCAAGAGGTGATCCTAGCACCTGCTCCTCCCTCCCCAGCTGCTGCTGATGGAGCGCAAGTTACAGGAAGTGCACCCGCTGCTGACCCTCTGTGGACAGATAGTTGAGAACTGGCAAGGGAACCCCATCCAGAAGGAGTCTCTGCGTGTCTTCTTCCTGGTCCTCCAGGTGACCCACTACTTGGATGCCGGGCAGGTATGTAATGCCTCCCACACAAGGGCTAATGGGGAGTGAGCAGGCTGCAAGTGGGCTTTAGGCCAAGACCTCACTTCTGTGGTTACCTCCTGTCACTAGCCACATGACATGTCTATCATTAGGGGCTCAGCCTTCCCTACACACCTTATCATGGTCTGGCACGAGTGCTTTGTCCCCGTGGGCAGAGGGCACTGTTGGAATGGGGGTCTCCTATAGCTAGCATCATGGCGGGAGTAATGGTGCACTCAGTGCGTGGACAGTTGAAGGCATCTGAGGGCAGTTTGTGGAATCCATGAGAATAAACTGAGGATTGTGGCATGGTGCCTGGCCCACAGCAGGTGCTCCAGCAGTGTGTCCACCATCCCCCAGCTGATGACAGCTTTATGGAGTTCGAGAAGGGATTGACAGGATCAGCTGTGTCTTAGAGTAGATTGTAATCCTCGTGTGTTTGAGGAGCAGCTGCATCCGTGCGTGGGTGACATTGCAGCCTTTTGGGTGTGCTACTCCGTCCATCTTACCGTACCCTGGCCTAGTGACCAAGCACAGGCAGGACCTCTGGTGTGCTAGGAGGCCACAGGCAGAGCCTAGTGGGTGTCTCATTGGTAAGGGGCTTCCTCTGTTCCCCCACTTGCACCCAGCTATGCCTGTTGGGGTAAACACCGCATTCAACACCTAGGAGTATAGACCAGACTCTCATGTGGTGCTCATGGCTGCGGAGATGGCCTACGGGGGCCTTGGTACAGGGCTTCCCGGTGCAGAGAGGCCAGTCTGTACAAACCATGGCGCCTGCAGGACTGCCAGGGAGCCACTTCACACCTCTCAGGGTAACCGGCTGCCCCAGCCCTACCTTCCTCTCCTGAGGTTTACTACAGGAAAGAAGCGTGGCTTGAGCAGGGTCTTTGAACAGGCTTGTCTCAGGCCTTGGTATTGGGCCCCAAACTGGGTGGTGGCCAAGCCTCAGTCCCACAGATGACCTCCCTGGTCCTGCCCTGCACCCCAAGAGCTGGCTGACCCATCGGGGTGGGGGGCTCCTGCAGGCAGTGAGCATGGCAGGACCTCCTGGGAGGAAGGGGCTGAGAGGTGGCTGGACAGGCAGGCCCTGGCTAGTTGCCCAGGGGCCTCATATCCTGAGGGGCCTGGCACCTGGTGCAAGTCGGCAGGCCCTCAGGTGTGTGGCGCCACTCGCCCACTCCAGGTGAAGAGCGTGAAGCCGTGCCTGAAGCAGCTGCAGCAGTGCATCCAGACCATCTCCACACTGCACGATGATGAGATCCTGCCCAGCAACCCCGCTGACCTGTTCCACTGGCTGCCTAAGGAGCACATGTGTGTGCTCGTCTACCTGGTGAGTCTCCGGGCGACTGGGGCCCTGGCGGCTACAGCGGGGAAAAGAGGGTCACAGTGACCACCGCTGTCTGGTCTTGTCACCAGGTGACCGTGATGCACTCCATGCAGGCTGGCTACCTGGAGAAAGCACAGAAGTACACGGACAAAGCCCTCATGCAGCTGGAGAAGCTCAAGAGTAAGTCTCGGGGGGCTGGATGGACACAGCTCTACTTGGCAGGTCTCGGAGCCACAGCGCCCCCTGGTGGATGGCCTGAGTGCCACCTCTTGGGCTGGCCTGAAGAACCCAGAAAGACAGCAGCCCTGAGTAGAACCCTAACCCTAACCTGTGGGTCTTGTTAACCCAGTTGGAAGATGCGGGCAATCTGGGGTCGGGACAGAGCAGGCCAAGCCTAGGCTTGATCCTTGATCCCTGGCCAGAGGGGTTCTTGTGCCATATCTGCCCTACCTCCCCCTCCCCCCGCTCAAGATGGCTGTGAGGGTTAGTGGGTCCCGAGCAGGGCCTGTTGGGACAGCAGTGCTCAGTTGAAAGAGACAGTGGCTGCTTTGCTGTCTGTTCTCAGTATCGTGACATGGATCATGCCGGGTGAGGCTGGGATTGGAACTCAGATCCCCCTAACCAACGGCAGGTCCTCTGGAGGTTGTGGGTTCTTCCTGGATGCTCAGCTAATCCATCCTGTGGGACCAGGGACCTTTGGCTAGTAGGAACCCAGAGCCTCACGTGTCCCTGGCTGGCTCAGCACCCCCGTTAATCTGTTCATCTGCTTCCTGTGCCCTCATCAGTGCTGCTGGGGGAGGAGCCTTCAGAACTGGAGAACCAAAGCCCACAGGGATGGTGGTTCTTTCCCTCCAGATGAGCTGGGAAAGGGCTGTGGGCACCATCTGGCTCCAATGTAAGGACAGCCTCTCAGGGAAGCCAAGAGCTGGGTTCCCTCACCGCTGCCTGAGGCCTGTTGCACAATTTCACTCTCCTGGGCTACTGCAACATTTCTAGAACCCACTGTGCGGAGTGCCCTGGAGCACCCCCCCTGGGTCACAGTGGAGTGAGGATGGAAGACAAATCTCTCCAGGGATTTCTTACTCTTAGAACGCTCTGGTCACTAAAACCTGGCTCTGGGCCTGTCTCCCCACCTGGATAGGGAGATGAACCCCCTCACTCTAGGGTGCAGTGGGCACCGAGAGAGGTGACAGCTGGTGCTGAGCTGGTGCCCAGCAGAGCAAATGGGCTCAGACCTGGGTAGCCCAGGGGCCAATGTGGTGGGCAGTGGGAGGATGCAGAGTCCCCAGGAGGCTCTGTGTCCATCTCCTAGGGTCTCTTCTCCAGCTGCCCCTTGAGTGCTCACCCACACCTCTCGCCCCCAGTGCTTGACTGCAGCCCTATCCTGTCCTCCTTCCAAGTGATCCTGCTCGAGCACATCATCATGTGCAGGCTTGTCACAGGACACAAGGCCACTGCGCTGCAGGAGGTAATGCTGCCAGAGGCCACGCGCATGGGTGGGAAAGCTGTTGGAGTCTGCCGGGTCTCAGAAGTCATCCCGTGGGAGAGTGTAAATTTACCCGGTGTGTGTCAGCAGAACATCCAATCTTGTCATTTCACTATGCTCTGTTAGTTCGTGACCCTGATGGACATAACAGAAATCAGTGGTTCTTTCCCTGAAAGTTTGCATGCCCAAGGAACACAGGGTCTGAGGATTTGGGGTCCCCTGATGGTGATCCTAGCATTCCTCCTGCCCCAATCCAGAATCTCTGATGTTTACCTTCCTGATGGGGGTGTGGGGGCCCTGAGTAGGGGGAAGGCACTGTATGGCTGAGACGCATGTTAGAAAGGGAGGATGAAGTGGGGGTAATGGACAGGGGTCATCATTCTCAAGGAGATCAGGGCTGCGCTTGGCCCTTGTGACAGACGCATTTGCTGGGACTTTGTGGCCCAGGGAAGGTCGGATGTGGGCACACCTGGCAGCTTTGGGGTCTCCCGAAGGCTGCTGGGACACCGGGTGCCACGTTCGAGGCCTTGTGACGGTGAGCGTGCTCTTTCCTGGCAGATCTCCCAGGTCTGCCAGCTGTGCCAGCAGTCCCCCCGGCTCTTCTCCAACCACGCGGCACAGCTGCACACGCTGCTGGTGAGTGCCCGGGGCTGCCCGCCCCCAGCCCCCTTCCAGCAAGGAATCCCGTGACCGCTGCCCCACGCGGGATCCAGATGTTTCTGGTGGGCCGGAGTCTGATAAGCATCTGGAGTCTGAGTTGAGTTAGGGCCCGGGAGGAGGGAATACTTAAGCCCGCCATCTTTCTGCCCCTTTGCTGGAGTAAAGCTCAGAGGTGGCTGGCTCAGCAGTCACTTGTTGAGTTGTGCGGCCCTGGGCAAACTGTGTGGCTTCAGGCCCTCCGTGCCTTCTTCTTGCAGGGCCTGTACTGTGTCTCTGTCAACTGCATGGACAATGCAGAAGCCCAGTTCACCACAGCCCTGCGGGTAAGGTGCCGGCCCTCACTCCAAGGGGCGGGCGGTGCTTCTCAGTGAGGCGTCGGGCGTGGTCCGATGAGGACAACCTCTGCACAAAACTGTGCTCAGCGGGCGACTCTGCAGCATTCAGCCTGACGCCGGCCATGATAGTGACGTGCCGTTCATCCGGGCTGTCCACGGCAAGGCCAGCGCCGGCAGCACAGTATGACAAGGGATAGCTGCGGGCAAGGAGGCTTTTGGCCAGCCTGGGGTGGGGCGAGCCTGGAGGGCAGCTGTCAGGGAGAGCCCAGTGCCCACTGGTGCCACGGCCCGTTCAACCTCTTTCACTCCTAATTCCCAGCCTTCCTGATAACCTGCCAGGTTGGTGTTGGCTCCTGTCACAGCTGAAGATGCAGAGTCACTCGGCAGGGCTCAGGGGCTCCCTGGAGCCACCCCCATGGCAGGACGGGGTCTGCCCTCACCCTGCGGCAGCCTGGTTGCTCTGGGGGTCATGAAGGAGCTCCGCTGGGGCCAAGTCCTTGCCTCAGACAGGATCGCAACAGGCCCTGGGAGAAAGCTGGTGCCGCGGCCTCCTGGAGAGAGCCACCCTGGGCCCGGGAGTTGATAGTCCAGTGCCAGGTTCCGGTTCTGCCTGTCTTGTTCCAGGACCAGATAAGCACATCTCCACCTTGGCCTCGGTGTCCTCATGGGAAAAGGAGGCTGGCAACACCTTCCGCCCAGGGGTCCTGAGGAGGCCCCAAGCAGAGGTGTGGGGGGAGTGGGGGTGCCGTGTGCACCGTCGGGTGAGGAGTTCTGCTCTGTCCCTCGTGCCAGTCTCCAGATCTCTTGGCTCCTGGGACTGGGCTCAGCGGTATTACTGCTCCTCGGAGTGCTCCGCGCCCCCAGCTTGTCTTGGCAATGCGCGGGGCCTCTGGCAGCATGCATGAGTATGAGGGGTGGATGGGGCCGCTCCCATGGCCTTCCGAGCCTTTCCGTCCGCGCCTGCTGCTCTGGGCCCTGCTGGTACTGGGACAGCCACACACAGCCACCCTGTTCCCTGCAGTTACCCCGTGGCCTCGTGGCTCCCCGTCTCGGTGTCCCACAAAGGGCTGCTGCTGCTTTGATGGTGTGCACCGCAGGGCAGTCCGTACGGCGCGCTTCCAGGCCACGTGGGAAGTGGTACAGCCAGGGTGCACGCCCAGACCCCCCGGCCCCAGACCCGTGCTCCGCCTGCAGTCCTCCAACAAACAAACCAGAGCGCGATGCTCGCATCAGAAGACGTCCTGGGCCCCCTCGGCACATGCTGGGGTCCGGGGGGCGGGGGGCTGCATTTCCTAGGCAGCCTCAGTCTCCTGCACAGCTGTGCGGCCTCAGCGCCGCCGGGAACCAGGGGCTGGGTACTGCTCGGGCTGCTCAGATTGGTCCCCCCTTCAACCACTCTTATTTCCCAAGAACTGAGGACAACGGTCCATCCGCCACCAGCCATCAGCGGCATCTCTGGTGTCGGACAGCCTCAGTTACCCTCCTGACGGTGTCCTCCCCAGGACCAGCACATGCCTCTGCTGTATCAGCCCACCCTGGGGTCCCAGGGGTCGCTGGTTGTGGTGTGGAGGGAGGGGCTGTCTGGGTCTCAGTCCTGAGAAACAAGCAGAAAATAGACTGAAGTGCAGTGTGTTCTCAGGGCAGGATCAGGGGCGGCTGATTTTCCTCTTCTCTGTTTCCTAAGTTTCTCCTAATGTGGATGACGGTTTTATAGTGAAGAGAACTAACAGCTCTATGCTCCTGGGGTTCAGGAAGCAGGCAAGGGGATCTGTCTGAAAGGAAAGAAAGAAAGTGATTCCAGATTAGCTGCTGTGGAGGATTGGGCGGCTCCAGTGCCACTGAGTGACCCCAGTGTGATGGGACTGTGCCCGGCCTGGCCCTCTAATGGCCATGTGTCCTGTTCTAGCTCACCAACCACCAGGAGCTGTGGGCCTTCATCGTGACCAATCTGGCGAGTGTGTATATACGGGAAGGAAATAGACACCAAGAGGTAGTAGGTGACATGCTTCATGTTTGGTATCTTTTCAACTCTTATTCGGGGGCGGTGGGGTTGGGGTGGTCTCGGGCACCAGCAGATCTCAGCAGCCCCAGGGTTTCACCATCCAGCAAACGGCACTGTCCCACCCAGAGTTGCAGGCATGGCTGGGGCAGACGGGGTCTAGGACAGGAACGTTCCCTAGCTAAACAACATTTCTCCCTGTTAAAAATGAGCCAAGCTTTATTGAATTGCACAGAAAAAAATCCAGTTTCTTCTACTTTGAGCTGTTCTAGAATGTCAGTGAGGCCTCCTGGCTCTCTTCTGAGGAGCAGCAGCTCAGGCAGCCATTTGCACTGTGCTCCTAGGTTGTCCTAAGATCCAACCTCATAAAGGGTAGGGGGCTCCCAGGGCTTGTCCTTATAGGGCAAGTGCCCTCACACCAGGTTCCCCTTGTGATTCCCTTCAGCCCTGGGATCCCCCCCTTAGCCCTAGGATTGCCCTCTCCCAGCCCTGGCCTCCTGCCTCTAGAGTATCTGAGATTTAGTTGTTTTTCCACCTCCGTGGCTTTTGTTTTATCTTTAGTCTATAAAAAGTTTAGCCGAGGGGCACCTGGGTGGCTCAGTCGTTAAGCATCTGCCTTCGGCTCAGGTCATGGTCCCAGAGTCCTGGGATTGAGCCCCACGTCGGGCTCCCTGCTCCGCGGGAAGCCTGCTTCTCCTCTCCCTCTCCCCCTGCTTCTCCTCTCCCTCTCCCCCTGCTCGTGTTCCCTCTCTCGCTGTATCTCTCTCTGTCAAATAAATAAATAAAATCTTTAAAAAAAAAAAAGGTTAGTGGACCTCCCAGCTTCTGGGTTTGGATGCTTTGGGCTCCAGGGAGCAGAAAGCCCAGCCTTGTCTGCTCCAGCAGTTAGGAAGCAGTGGGCAGGGTCATCATAGGGCTAGGAGTGGGCTCCGTGGGTTACACTTGGTAGGTCATGGGACAGCTCGGCTTCCCTGTGTCCTTTGCCGTCCCAGCGTCTGCCTCCTGGAGGTACTGTGGGGACACTGGAAGCAGCTTCAGCTCACTTCAGCCGTGTCCTCTACCCCTCCTTCCTTGGCAGCCACAGGAGACCTAGAACGTCAGTCACGTGGCTGCCTATCAGAGCCTCCCAGGATCCCTGCACCTCCAGATAAACCCCATCCCCTGCCCACAAGACCCATGTGGGCCTATCTTCCCACCTCGCTCCCCCACACTGGGCCCTTCTGACCATACAAAGGCTGAGACTGAGCTGCTGCCCTGGCCGCCCAGCCCCCTCACCTGACGTGGGACAGGCTGAGGCTGTGAGGCCCCCCAACCCTCACCCTTCATAATGGGGGTCATGATTGCCACTGGGTGGGGTGCGGGGCGTGAGGAAGTAAACAGCTGCATGCAGTCTCCTGGAGTGCCCTCACCTGTCCCCGCAGGTCCTGACCCCGCTCCCCGCTCAGGTTACTCAGGCCTGGGATTTGGGGGGAGGGCACGATGCTCTCAGGTTGGGTTGGGAAGATGCGAGCAGCCCTAGTCAATTTAGTGGCACATTTGAGGCTGAATTTTGTCATGTTTCAAAATACAAAATGATCCTAACTGACCTTTCTGCCACAGCTGTACAGTTTGCTGGAAAGGATCAATCCAGACCATAGCTTCCCTGTCAGGTACGTGGCCCAAGTGCTGAGTGCCCACTTGACCTGTTGTCTTACGCTTTCTCTGCTCTTGGGGTGGGGCCGGTGCTGGTGGGACCCAACTGCCCTGGGTACCCGGCGCCTCTCGCTCCCCTTTGGAAGCCTGCTGCGCTCACAAACCGCCCCCAGAGTATGCCCCTGTCTCTCTTGTCAGCTCACACTGCCTGCGAGCAGCAGCTTTCTACGTGCGCGGGCTCTTCTCCTTCTTCCAGGGACGCTACAATGAGGCCAAGTGAGTACAGGGAGAGGACAGGTTGCCCCCTGCCCGGCACCTCCTGGGCCGGCCCTCCAGGTGCTTTTTGCTCCCTGACCGTGTGTGCCCAGGGCTTCTGTCCCTGAGACAAGTGGGCTCTGCTCAGGGCCTTGAGTTGGCTGCAGCCTCTTTCTAGCGATAAGGCGTCCCGATGGGCCTTCAGCATCTGTTCCCACATAGGCGATTTCTTCGAGAAACTCTGAAGATGTCCAACGCAGAGGACCTGAACCGACTCACAGCCTGCTCTCTTGTGCTCCTGGGCCACATCTTCTATGTGTTGGGGAACCACAGAGTGAGTGACTAGGGCTGGGCCGAGAGGCAGGGGGCCTGCAAGGTGCTTACAGACTGCCGCCTAGCAGTACTTTGCATCCTGTGCCCCTCAGTGAACTTATCTCAGTAACCTCCCCACTCCCCACTGCTCCATGAGGCTCGGGCAGGGGTCCGGGGGTGAAGGGGAGCTTTGGATCCTGGAGGATGGGTCTGTGTGGCAGACAGGCCCAGTGCTGGCTGCAGGCAGTGGTCAGGCAGAGTCCCACGGGCTTTCCAGAGCTGTCCAGAACTGGCAGGGCTAAGGGCAGGTTCCCCTTTCTGTGTGTTAATACCTGGGGGTGGAGAGGTGTGTCCTCTCAGCCAGATCATTTGGGCTCCATTTTGCCCAGCACACACAGTGTTGTCCTCAGGGCACCCCATGTTTTCACCTCTACCTAGAATGGCCCCCTGGGGCTCGTCCCCAGTGGAATCAGCCAACTCCAAGTCTCCGAGTCAGATGGGGAACCTGGGCTGTGCTCTTACCTGCTCTCCTGCTCTTACCTATTGATCTCTCGAGGCTGTTTTTTTAAGATCACGTTTGTTCACGTTATATAATATGGTATGATCATCGTAGAAAGCTTGAGAAACAAAAGAGGAAACGATTGCATGTCTTCTGGCTTTTTCCAATACCTGTCTCTGCCTACACATAGGTTTTGTTTTTCAGGCTGTTCCATAATTCGATATCTTGTCTTTCTCTGCACCACTGGGTGAGAGTTTTCTTCAGTGGCAGCAAGAATTTTGAAGTAGCATATGCTTCATAGTTTAGCCAGCCTCACTTTCACTAACATGGGTTACGTGTCTAGGCCCGTAGAGCTTTATCTGATCAAACCCTAGGGCTCCCTAAGAATGAGCATTTTTTAACAACTTTGGCACGTTCCCCTCCCCATAGTAACATGACAAGCATTTCCCAGGGGCCAGGGCCTGAACACTGGGGGCGTCACCACCCATAAAGGAAGAGGACGAGCTTTGGGTTCTCCCTTCAGAGTGCAGCTCTGCTCCTTTTAGAATACCCTGTCACCTTGTTCCTCAGCCTCTGAGCACACTTGGGAACAGTGGCCTCACTGTGGGTCTGGGGCCCAGATGGGAACATGAGGCCCTGCTGAGTGTGGGCCACCCGCCTCATGTCTTGGTGTGGTGGATGTGGTTCCCCCGTTTTCCAGCTGGGGAGATTAAGGTCACAGAGCCCCAAACTGCAGACCCAGGCTTAGAACCAGACCTCACTGGCTCTCATTTGTCTAGTAGTCTCCAGAAGCCCCCTTGCATGGGACAGGGTAAGCAAAGCAGCTTTTCAGCGGCAGCTCTGGTTCACGTTTGAGGTGATCCCGCGGCATCTTACGAGCTTATTTAGGAACCTCCACTGCTCCCTGTGTGTCTGGGCCTGGGCCTGGCCTCAAGCAGCTCCAGGTCTGGGCCTGGGCCTGGGCCTGGCCTCAAGCGGCTCCAGGTCTGAGGGAGACACTGCCCACTCTGCCCTGAGCCTGCCAGGCTGGAGGGTCCAGAGGCATCATGAGTTTGTGAGCAGCCCCCACACGGGATAGTTCTCTAAATCACACATCTTCATACCAAATTCTGTGGGGCTACAAGTTGGCATGGGGGAGCCTGCCTAGGAGAGCCAAGGGGCACTCTCCTTCTGGCAGCCTCCAAACAGAGGCCCAACCCCAGGCCTCGAGGAGAAGAGTAGTTTTTCGTGTTCTGTTGTGCATTCTGAGGTTTTGAAAAGACTTTATTTAATTCTGAAAAGCTTTGAGACCCACCTGGAGCTCATCTTTGAGGTGCCAGGCGTGGGGCAGTGTGAAGTCATTGGGCTTTTATGTTCTCAACACAGTCCTGCCTGTGCTAAAGCTAGGCCTCAGGAGTTGGATTTGAGGATTTGTAAATCTCTTGACTACATGGCAGGTATCTGCCAGGAGCTCCTATATAGAGAGTTCTCCCCTGTCACCTTGAATCCTACATCCAGGCCAGCAAAGTTTGTTGTCCCTAGGTCAAGCAGGGGCGGAGCAGTGCTTCCAGTCATCATGGGGTCAGGGATGGGTGTTGAGGGCCCCCCGCGCACTGTCAGTACATCCTAGGTATTGGGGGGGGGTGGTGTGCAGTCGCACCGTCAGGGTTGGAGAGTTAACATGCCCTGGTGTCCCACAGCCCCACATGTCCGGTAGCTTCCCACAAGCGTGGGCTTGTACATAGAAGAGACACTTCCCTTTCGGTCTCCTCTACCCATTCAGCCCTCCTTAGCCCCACCAGGGCGGACTGCTTCCTCCTCCCAGGCCCTGGGACCTCTGAATGTGCATTTCTGATTGGCTCCTGATCTGGGTCCAGAGCGGGCTACCACCAGTGCCTTTTGCTCTGGTTAGAGACAAAGGCACGTAGACTTGTCCGTAGCCAGCAGTGCCCTGATGAGGAGGTACCTGCAGAGCTGGAGGGTGGGGGCAGTTTATTTTCTCCTGAGGCGGTTGAAGAGTACATCAGAGGAGGTCATTTGAGATGGGCTCTGAAGTAGGAATAGGAGTTTTCTGGGCAGCAGGAGGAGGGCACAGCCTGGGCTCGGTGTGGCTGTCCCCGCTGCTGGCCCCAGCCCCCACTCCCTTCCCTGGCTGCTCTCGGTCAACAGGAGAGTAACAACATGGTGGTGCCTGCCATGCAGCTGGCCAGCAAGATCCCAGACATGTCCGTGCAG